AAATGTTCAGGTAGTCGGGATCCCTGTAAACTGGTTTACAGGGATCCTCGTGTTTCTACCGGATAAAGAGCTCTCTCTTTAAACACACATTTGGTTCAAGAATTGATGAGGAAGATTGTGTTGTTGTTTTTTTTTAAGAAATTTATCTTTTGTTTCTCTCAAAGCAAAAAGAACATTATTGTCAGCGACCATTTTGCCTCTTGATTATAGAGATGTTGTGTATATGAAGGCCTCAGCCAGGTGTTCACTGGATCCCCTTTATTACTGCGCCCTGTGGCGTCTAACAGGCTGCAGATGGTTGAGTGTCCTTTGAGTTCCTCACAGACTGAAGAATGTCTGATGGTTGGACCCGTCTACAGGACCCGGTGGACTGAGTGGTTTCACTCACATGTAACTCTCTCCCAGAGCTTTGTGGACGGGCAGCAGGCAGGAGATATCCTGGATAATGACTTTCCCCGCCAGCTTGATGGGACGGCTGCCGTAGTCCACGCCTTCCCGCTTTGTCTTGAAGCGCCGGGATTTCTGTGGGGAGACGGGGACAGAGAGGAGGACGGGGACGGACGGCCGAGGAGACAGAACCGCAGCTGATTAAACTGGATCGCAGCAGAGTCTGTTCACACTGAGAGTCAGGAATCTCTGGGAAGTTCTCTGGGTTCTTTACATCCTGGAACTGATACCAGGAAGTCCAGCAGAACCATCCGTAGGAGAAACACTTTACCAGGTGATCCAGAACCTGGACCCATTGGTCTGTCAGTGTGAACAGCTCATTAACACGCAGCCTGAAGAGCCAAATTACTGCAGCACAGGTGAGACAAAGTCCAGACAGAACCTACCTGGAGATGTTAGATGTTAGTGACGATACTGGACAAAACTTTCTGAGTTAGTTTCACTAGTTATGTGTTCAGAACAAACCCAGAACCCAGAGCTTCCAGTAGTCCCATCATCTGCTATCAGCTCTGTTTGATGGGAAAAGTTCCCACAGGCCCTCAGAGGTGAAGAGGCTGAAAACTTCATCACCTTCTACTTCATGTCCAACAGGGTCTTTGGTCTAACAGCGTCCATGTCCAACAGGGTCTTTGGTCTAACAGCG